CAAAATTGGAAAATTGAAATGAAACTAATGATTTTCTAGATAGATTATAATTAGCAAAGTTAAATCAAGATCACATAAACAATCTAGATAGTCCTATAACCCCTAAGAAAATAGAAGCAATCATTAAAGTCTCACAAACCCCCAAAAGCCAAGGGCCAGATGGTTTTAGGACAGAGATATACCAGACTTTCAAAGAAGGGCTAAGATTCCTCAAACTACTCAATAAAATAAAACAGAAGGGACATTGCCAAACTGATTCTATGAGATCACAGTTACCCTGATACCTAAACCACACAAAGACTCAACAGAAAAAGAGGATTTCAGGCCAATTTCCCTTATGAACAGTGATGCAGAAATAATAAAATGCTTGCAAATCAAATCCAAGAACACATCAAAGACATAATCCATCATGATCAAGTAGGCTTCATTCCAGGGATGCTTCAATGTATAATAACCCATCAATGTAATCCACAATATAAACAATCTGAAAGAAAAAAAAGAACACAGGAACATTAGATGCTGAAAAAAAAACATTGACCAAATCCAACATCCTTTCATGTTAAAAGTTTTAGACAGATCAGGGATAAAAAGTACATGCCTAAACACAATATAGATAATATACAACAAGTCAATAGACAACATCAAATTAAATATAGAGAAACTTAAATCAATTTCACTAAAATCAGGGACAAGACAAGGCTGCACATGCTCCCCCTATGTATTCAATATAGTATTTTAAGTTCTAGACAGAGCAATAAGACATCTAAAGGAGATCAAGGGGATGCAAATAGGAACAATTTGGAAAGAAAGAAGCCAAAGTATCACTATTTGCAGATGATATGATAATATACATAATTTCTACCAGAGAATTCCTGTGACTGATAAACACCTTCAGCAAAGTGGCTGCATACAAAATTAACTCAGATCAGTAGCCCTTCTTTATACAAACAATAATTAGGCAGACAAAAATGTTAGGAAGGAAACACTCTTCAAAAGAGCCATAAATAATACAAAATATCTTGGTGTAACTCTAGCCAAGCAAAATGAAAGACCTGTATGACAAGAACTTCTTGTCTCTGCAGAAAGAGATTGCAATAGATATCAAAAAGAAACATAATCCATGCTCATGGGTTAATAGGATTAACATAGTGAAAATGGCCATTTTACAAAGCAATCTACAGATTCAATGAAATTCCCATCAAAATTCCAATACAATTCTTAAAAATCTTGAAAGAACAATTTTGAATTTCTTGTGCCAAAATGGAAAACCCAGGAAAGCTAAACAACCCTGAGCAAGAACTTTGGGAGGTATCAACCATCCCTGACTTCAAGCTATACTACAGAGTAATAGTAATAAAAACTACATGGTGTTGGTATAGAAACCAACAGGATGAAAAATGGAATCAAACTGAAGATCCAGAAATAAAGCACACACCTATGGATACTTGATTTTTGATAAAGAAGGCAAAAGGATACAATGGAAAAGAGAGAGCATCGTACACAAGTGGTCCTGGTCTAACTGGCTGTCTGTATGTAGAAGAATGCAAATAGCTTCATGTTTATTATCCTGAACAAAATTCAAGTCCAAGAGGATCAAAGACCTCAACATACCACTGGGTACATTAAATCTAATAGAATATAAAGTGGGAAATAGTCTTGAACTCATTGGTACAAGAGACAACTTACTGAAGGGAACACCAATGGCTCAGGCACTAAGATAAACAATTAATGGATGGGACTTTATAAAACTGAAAAGTTTCTATAAGACAAAGGATACTGTCAATAGGAAAAAACAATTTACAGGTTGGGAAAAGATCTTCACTAACCCTACATCTGACAGTGGAATAATATCCAATGTATATAAAGAACTCAAGAATTTAGACACCAACAACCCAAAACAGAGGAATCTTGAATGGCTAAGAAATACTTAAAGAAATGTTCAAAGTCCTTAGTCATCAGGGAAATGTAAATCAAAATGACCCTGAGATTCTATCAACACCCATAAGAATGAGTAAGAGCAAGAACTTAAGGGACAGCACATGCTGACAAGGGTGTGGAGCAAGAGTAACATTCCTACATTGCTGGTGGGATTACAAACTTGTACAACTACTCTGGAAATCAATTTGGGGGTTTCTCATAAACTTAGGAATAATTTTACTTCAAGTCTCAGCTATAACACTCCTGGGCATATACCCCAAAGATGCTCCATCATCCCACAAAGACACTTGCTCAACCATGTTCATAGCAGCTTTGTTTGTAATACCACAAACTGGGAACAACATATATGTTCCTCAACTTAAGAATAGATAAAGTAAATGTGGTTCATTCATACATCGAACACCTAGAGAAATATACTTATTGAAGTCCTCATACAGATAATC